CCTTAGAACCCAGATGCTAGGTTGTGCAGAAGCTCAGATCACATGGAAAGGCCACATGTAGATGTTTCAGGCAACAGCCCGGCTTCCATGTGACTGTCACACATGTGGCTGAATGAAGCTTCAGACAGTCCCAGTCCCAACCCTGCTGCTTCCTCGCTCCCCCACCTTGAGCTGCACAGGCTCATGCCAAGATCTCTCCTTGAAAATTCAACCCTTTAAGGCCACCTTTGAGGGAGGGGAAAGGCTCCTTGTCTCTCAGCCTCTGGCCAGCACTAGCCGGCAGCCTGGAGGTCCGACAGCCCTGAGACCTGCTGGGGGTCTTCCGTGTCCCCATGAGTCTGGGGCAGCAAGAAGGTCCTCTGGGGACATAGAAGGCAGAGTCCGTGGACCAGAGATAACTGGCCCTCCGAGAGGCAGGCTTATTTGTGGGGGCACATGGAGCAGTCCAAAGACTCCAGAAGTCATAAAGTATCCTCAGGGGAAAGAACTGAAGCTCCATTACTAACATGGTGGGGACTTAAACCAGGGATGAACCCACTTCCTGCTCTCCCGCAAGCATGCATCTGCCCCCAGCAGTTCCCATGATCCCTCCGTTGAGAGGTTTACACTGTCCACGTGGGCCTCACCTTGTGCAAACCATACACACTCATCTTCTCAGACTCAAGCAGAATTCTAGATGGTTGCCTTTAGGAAAGCTGGCAAACTTTAAAAACATAATCCCCATAAAGCTGATAGCATGCTTGGAAGTAAGCAATTTGACACAATGCAGATGGAGAGAACTTTGCCAAAGAACAATTTAGTGATGACACCAAAAGCCTGACATAGAGGCACAAAAAAAATAATTTTCTTTCCCAGCAACTCTTTTATTTTTTTTATTTTTTAATTAAACAAAATTTTTATTACATAAATCACAGGTACACAAAATACTGATTCACAGTTTTTAAAGGTTATACTCCATTTGTGGTGAAATAGATGTATCAATTTGATCCCATAACTTCACTCACAGGACTGAATCTTAAGAATCTAGTCATGGATGTACACAAAAATATGCCTACAAAGACATTCACTGGAATTTTGTTTTCAATAGTGACTGTTGGAAACTAACTAAATCTCCAAAACAGAGATTGGGTATTCATGTAAGTGAAATCAATACAGGCACCAAGGCTGATTAGAATACCTATGAACACCTGCAGGAGGAAGATGCCTGCTCTGACGTCAGGAAGGACAGTGCCTGGTAGGCAGCACTTTGAATCCATATGAGCAGCTGCAATAGAGAAGGACCCTATGGTCCTTCCCACCATGGGCTCTGCCTGTCTTTGGCCTGCAGAAAAACTTGAACCAAAGAACAAGTTTAATCAGAGAAGTGGGAACATGTAGAAACAAAGGAAAACAGTCAAACAAGACTTGATAATAACAGCTTAGTTGTTAAATACAATTCAGGACCTTTAGCTCCTCCACTTCCCTGGTAACCCAGATGGTAAAAGCATCTGCCTGCAATGAGGGAGACCCAGGTTCAATCCCTGGGTGGGGAAGATCCCCTGGAGAAGAACATGGCAGCTCACTCTAGTATTCTTGCCTGGAACATCCCACAGACGGAGGATCCTGGTAGGCTACAGCCCATGGGGTCACAAAGAGTCGGACACGACTGAGTGATTTCACAAGAGCTGTAGCTAATATTCTGAGCCATATCCTGTGGGCTGTCTTGTAGACACTGTAACCCCAGCAGGTGGAGAAGTTAACTACATGGTGATCAGTCTGCAGCCAGGTCATAAGCTGCCACCACTCTGAGAACTGGCCTCAAAGAATGAAGGAAATGAATTGACCCTGGAACTGAAGGCTAACTGTACTTAAAGTAATCAAGATGACGCTGCTCAGATCACCGCATGACCGATTTCAAGACAACCTTTGGTGTTGACTGCACTGTTTCTGCACATAGCCCCTTCCCTCCATATAGAAAAGCTCTTGTCCACAGATTGTCAGTGGGGGGAGTCAGCCCTTGTACAAGAGTCCACCCTTCCCCCCCTTACCCCTCCACCTGGGTGCCTGCCTCTGAAATAAAGCGAACTTTCCTTTCCACCAACCTTGCCTCTGGAGTACTGGCTTTAAAGCGATGAGTCTCTGGACCGCATTTTTGGTAACACAGCCTCCTTATCCTAAGAAACACAATCAAGCAGTTTGCCATCACCTTCCTCAGGGTGGGAGAAGAGCCCAGCCAGCTTGGCTCTCAGTCTTCATGTTCTTCTTTCCCACCCTCTTCCTCACTGACAGTCCTGATCGTGTTTGGATCACAGCGTGCGAAGCACCAAGGTCTCCACTTCCCAGACCTCCCCAAAGCGAGTCAAGCAGATGAAGCAAAAGGCAGCTGCAGACTCCTGAGAAAGCCCTGCTTCAGTGAAGGGCACCCTTTCCTCCTTGATTTCTCTGAATTCCCATCCTTCCTTCTCTCCCTTTCTAAACTGCAGATACAATACTTGGAGCAGCTGTCTTTTGTCCAAAAGAGGGGATATCGTCAAGGGCCCGGAGGATGAAGGTGCTCTGGTTTCTGAAGGCATTGCACCAGCCCTGGACCAATTATATGAGAAGGACACCCCCTCCGGACATTAAGTCACCATTTCTGGGGTCTCTGCTGCTGTTGTTCAGTCGCTCAGCCACGTCCAACTCCTTGCGACCCCGTGGACTCTAGCCGGCCAAGCTCCTCTGTCCAGGGCATTCTCCAGGCAAGAATACTGGAATGAGTTGCCATTACCTACTCCAGGGACTTCTGTCACTGACTCACATTTTAAACCAATCAAAAAAAAAAGGATAAAATGTTAAATACAGAGTCAGCTTAAAAGATTTTTAATAAAATGTACACGGGGTTTCCCTGATGGCTCAGAGAGTAAAGAATCTGCCTACAATGCAGGAGACTCTGGTTTGATCCGTAGGTCAGGAACATCCCCTGGAGAAAGGAATGTTCTTTTATAATAGTGTTAAAATATATTATTTTCCTAAGTATCCTTCTTATCAAATTTCTCTCATGTGTAAGCACCTCATATAAAGAGTGTGTGATGGTTGGAATAAAAATGGGCATTTCTGTTAGCACATGAAGGGTGATGTTTGCCATTTCCAGGCATGTTAGCTGCCAGGAGCTGGAAAGCAATGACAACGCTCTTGTACAGTTTAATTGCTTGACCTGGAAAAACAGAGCTACTTTAGCACAAGGCTCCAGAGCTAGCCGAAATGTACAAGCACCATATCAGCAATGCTACCAAATTCCCTATATAAAGCTGGAAAACATTTTGTCTGGGTTCAAAACAAACAAAAGGTATCTACGGCTTTAGCATCCTGTCCAAACACGTTGAAGTGTTAGGTTTCTCAGCGTTTATTCCATCTTCAGAGCTGAAAACCGTACAATTAAGGAGGAAGCCCCACGGCACTGCCTTCAGACTGAAAGCAGCTCCTTTCTGACTGATGTCGAGTAGCATCTCCAAACTCCCAGGCTCCTTAAATCTGAGACCGGAAAGGCGTTTAAGAACTTCAAGTACCATTTCCCCCACAGCGCTGTCTCTCAGCCCCTCCCCCACCGTATCTTTCACTTACCCTCTTCCAGGTCCTTTGTCCCCTTACCAACCATCAACCAATCCCCTCTGTCCTGGAGGAAGGAGGAGTGGGCAAATACTTATTAACATCAGGACTCTGACGCTGGGAAAGATTGAAGGCAAAAGATGGCGCGACAGAGGATGTGATGGCTGGATGGCATCAGCAACTCGATCGACATGAGTTTGGGCAAACTCCGGGAGACAGTGAGGGACAGGGAAGCCTGGCGTGCTGCAGCCCATGGGGTCGCAAAGAGTCAGCTATGACTTAGAGGCTGAACAGCAACAGTGAGCGATGCAAAGTAGAGTATCTGTTAATTCAGACTTCGGGATGCCTCGGTGGTAGCTTCTACTCCCAGAATCTGTGTTTTTAAAATACTAAATGACTCTGCTTCTTCAATCACCTGGTGGCCATCTTTATTGTATGAGTTAACATTTGATGAACATTTTGAATATTCTAGGAGAAAGCCTGGACCATCATATAGTCTATGTGAAATTTTCCACTTAACTGTGACCTAAATGCATTCCTTCCAATAGAAACTACATAATACATGTCACTGCAAATTTTTTTTAAGGCCTGAGCTGATGTCATATCAAAAGGCAAAAATGCACAGGTTCTGTCCAGCCCATGTTCCATAAGTGTACAAATCTATCTTGTGTAGCTGCCAGTCACATTTCCACCCAACAAAGCAGAGTAAGCCCTCCACACAGGCTTAGCACCGCGTGCTGAGAAAGTGGGGTGGGGGCTTGTGAGTATCCCCTGCCAACCCTCAGATCACAGCTTTTGCACAGTTTAAGGTGAGTTCTCTGGGGCTTCAGTTTCTTTATGATAAAGGACTTGAAACAAGAGAGGAGCTGGCCCCTGGGACCGTTAGAAGGGAGTGGGCAGCTCAACAAGAGCCCTGTGTGTGCTCCTTAGGCATGGAGCCCAAGACTGTCTTATGTGTCGTTGTTGTCGCTCACTCACTAAATTGTGTCTGACGCTTTGCCACCCCATGGACTGCAGCACACCAGGCTCCTCTGTCCTCCACTATCTCTGAGAGTTTGCTCAAATCCATGTTCTTTGAGTCAGTGATGCTATCTAACTATCTCGTCCTCTGTTGCCCCCTTTTCTTTTTGCCTTCAATCTTTCCCAGCATCAGGGTCTTTTCCAGGGAATCGAATCTTCGCATCAGGTGACCAAAATATTGGGGCTTCAGCTTCAGCATCAGTTCTTCCAGTGAGTATTCAGGATGAGTTTCCTTTAGGATTGACTGGTTTAATGTCCTGGTCTGATAATTATTTATAAATACGCTTAGGGAATTTTTCCCCACAAATTTCACAAAGACCCATAAGGAATCAATTATTCAAGAAAATTTAAATATGTAGGTCCCAAATAATTTCCCTTAGAAATGTTACTTCAACAAAATATACAGTTCATAATTTTAACACATGAATCTATCATTTTTACTCTAATAATATTTCTGAATATTCAGTAATATACCTCTAGGCATGATTAGTTGCTAACATTTATTTTATTTGACCTCACACATTTGTCAACATGTAGGCCTAGTATTAATTAACCCTTTCCTTCCTTCACTTCTGGCATTCTACATACCCTGCTGCATGCATATTCTTCAAACACTTACGAACAAGTGCAGAGCAAATAGCTATGTACATAAACAATTTGAAATTTCAAGGATTATGAAAATTGCAAAGTCTAGTAGCAATTTGAGTTCAGCTGATGGAAATATCTCTGCTTAAGTGCCAGATGATTTTAGTTCTAGGCACTTTGTTAACTGGGGGTCTGGGGTGGAAAAAAATCAGTGTGATTTTTGTGTTTGTTTGTAAAATACAGAAGATGAAAATACTGTCTACTGTCATATCTGATCAGGAGGTTATTTTGAAACTTACAGGAAATGGAGAAGAAATCTTTAAAAATTTAAAACATTAAAGGCATGTGAGATATGACTATGATCACCCTCTTGCTCTTTGTCATCAAACGTGTGTATTTTATGTCCTACATACAAATGCAGATTCACAGGTATGATAGAGATGAGAAAACACAGAGAGAATTTCTGAATTCAAGATCCTGAGTTACATCTTTTTTTTTTCATTTATTTTTATTAGTTGGAGGCTAATTACTTTACAATATTGTAGTGGGTTTTGCCATACATTGACATGGATCAGCCATGGATCTACAAGTGTTCCCCATCCCAATCCCCCCTCCTGCCTCCCTCTCCATCCCATCCTTCTGGGTCTTCCCAGTGCACCAGCTCTGAGCACTTCTGGGTTACATCTTCATGAAAGCATTTTTGTCAGTCAAACCTTCCATTGCTTTTATCTGGGCACTGGCCATTTCCTACCAGCCAGTCAGGTTTCCCCATTTCTTTTGGCAGCAGAGTCAATATTTCCATGGACTTGTCCAGAGCCATAAACCTTAAGGTCTTTGGGGTTCAACTCCAGGACTGTGGCATTGGAATAAGCAAGGCTTCCTGCAGTGGGCGCTCAAGAAGGGGGCGTGCCCCTGAGGAGGGTTCAGCTGCAGGGGCACTGCGGGAAAGACGGCGGGCGTCTCATGCAGCCACGTGTGTGTCGGGGCACCAACACCAGGCTCTGGACATTTGAAACTGACTAATTTCTGCTCTCACAAGGCTGAGATGGGGGCCCTTGAACTTGCAGTAAAAGATCCCTATCTATTAATAACATGCATCTTAAGACACTACCGATTTTTTAAATAAATGTATTCTTTTTAGAGACTGTTATTAGTAAAATGATAGGTTATAATACTTAAGCCACCAAAATTTAATAGGGTAGGTCCTAAATTCTTTCTAAAAATATACATGAAAACTCTTCCAAATGCCAAATAGAGTGCTACATTCAAGGCTGTTTAAACATGTGGTTGGCAAAGTGGTGAAGTTCAGAGTCAAAGAAATCAGGACCATCTAAGGGCCCCTAGAGAGGAAATTGGCACTGAAACCACTTTGTCTTGCCTTCCCAGCCACTAATGCCAAGTGTGTGTCAACAGATAAATGCAGAGTGAGCCCAGAGAGGTCCTCCCAGATTCCACAGGAACAAGGTGGCTCCATTTGTATACCCTGATGACTTGCAGGTCCCGGCTACAAATCCAAGATATGGAAGAAAGGGCACCAAACTCACCCCTACTTTATGGACAATAAAGATAAAAAGAAGCAAGCCCATAGAAGGTTTTCTAGATCTTACATATGGATGTCTATGTACTTAGGATGTAGCTTGCCCAGGTATCCCACCTGCAGCAGTCCATGTAATGTTCTAGTTGGCTACTGGTCCCAGGTCATTAAGAAGGATGCTGTGGTGACAGAAGGTAAAGTGGACAGTAGTGTTTTGGATTTGGTACTTGACAATGACCGAGGGGGCTTCCCTGGTGGCTCAGTGGTAAAGAATCCACCTGCCAATGAGGGAGACATGGGTTTCATCTTCTGTGTCTAGAAGCCTAGACATATATTCTACACAGGAAGATCCCCTGGAGAAGGGAATGGCAACACACTCTAGTATTCTTGCCTGGGAAGTCCCATGGATGGAGGAATCTGGTGGGCTACAGTCCATGAGGTCTCAAAGAGTTGGACACAACTTAGCAACTGAACAACAACATGAGTGATGAGACCTGTAGGCCTATCATGGACCAACACACACTTTGAACCAATGGTTCATAAACATCTAAACCAAGCATTTCATCTGATTCTGCAGTCAGACTCTAAGACATTTCAAATATATATATATAATATATATATATCACTTGAAATTTGATTTGAATGGCTGTAGCTTTCTAGGTAACACTGAAAAATCAAAGTATTAAAATTTCTAAAGCAGTCTATTCAGCCTTCCCACAGAGAGTTATTATGTTTTCATATTCTACACAACTCATTAAAACTTCTTTATCCTCTTTTAATCTTAAGATGTTTGTTTAGCATCTTTCTTCAGCTCATGAATTTATTTTCTAGAATTAGGTTAACTTTTTTCTCATTTGTTGCTTTTGTTTCAAAATGGAAATGACTTTATTTTTCTTAATACAAAATTAATGGACATTCTCAGAAAGAAATCACATATGAAAATACTAAATATTTAACCTACCTTTCCAAAGTTTTTTCAAGCACACATGCATTCATATACACGTAATTATACAATGGGTTACAACACAATGTTATGAAGTGACCTTGACCACACTGTGAGACACTTGAAATTTTAGTTCCCCAACCAGGTATCGAATCTGCGCCCCCTCCATTGAAAGTATAGAGTCTTAACCACAGGACTGCTCGGGAAGTCTAGAATAGTATTCTCTAAAATTTTTCTATGGATCTTTGAGTTCTCATATTGAGTTTCAAGATGCCAGTTAGATACTGAGACTGATACATAGGCATTTGCCTCCACTGCCCTCCAAATCCCCCTAAAATGAGTATTAAGCCATAAAAAAAAAAAAACAAAAGCCAGAGAGCTATACCTGGGAGGCATCAACAAAAGCTTGGAGACTCAAGATGCTGATAGCCAGGTACCTGCAGTGGAAGACACAAAGAACAAGTGAATTCACCCATAGAGCCCCAGTGCCAAGTGTCTGCTAAGTCTTCAGCAGTGTTTGCCTCTTTGCAACACTCTGGACCATAGTCCATGAAGCTCTTCTGTCCATGGGATTCTCCAGGCAAGAATACTGGAGTGGCTGGCCATGCCCTCTTCCAAGGGATCTTCCCAACCCAGGGATTGAACCTGCATCTCCTGTGTCTTTTGCATTGGCAGGCAGTTTCTTTACCACTAGCACCACCTGGGAAGCCCCATATAGACCCGAAGATGGTCCAGAAATCAATAGCGAGTGTAAGTGGGGCTGAAAAGAAGGATTGGTTAAAAGTCTGTACAAGAGATAATTAAAGCCTCAAACTGCCTTATTCACACAATGAAGTCAAACAAACACCGAGACCCAAAACCAGTAGAATACTGGTATTTCAGTCCCCCAAGTAGTTGAACAGGAGAGATCCTGAGTTCATGACGAGAGATGGTTGTAGGAGTGAGTATCATGATGAAAACAGGAGAGCTGAGTGAAAATCTACTCTAACAATGGTGAGTCATCCGCACCCCTTTCTATCTCAGCCCTTAAAACCACAGGGAAAAGGCCTCATGGTCTCGGCAGGGGCTGGAAGAGTCCTCTTGGAGAACACCTGCCTATAAAAGTCCTCCAGGCAGAAATTAGGCCTTCTGCCGCATTTACAACAGAAGTCAGGCCCTTGCATGACTACCCTGTAGTGAAGCCCACCACGCAATAAGCCCCGGCTTATAGAACTTCCCAGTTCTCTAAGGTGCATGATGAGTATGTAAATTTACTTTTTTAAAAACTGTCCATTTGTTTTGAAAGTGGTTAATCCATTTTTTTTATATCACCAATGACTCTGTGCCACCTGTGACCACATATGTGTGGGCCTATTTCTGGACCTACAATGGTAACTTGAATTTTCTACCTTCATGTCCTACTGGTCATTGTCATCCTACCCATGTTAAAACTCTTCAACACGTTACGATTTAAACACTCGGTTTTCTTTTGATGAGTTTAAAAAATGAGAATATCTTTTTTTTAACCTATACACTATTTCCAGCATGCCTCATTAATTTACATAGATCCATATTTCCATCAGGCTTCCCTGGTGGCTGAGATGGTAAAGAATCCATCTGCAATGCGGGAGATCTGGGTTTGATGCCTGGGTTAGGAAGATCTCCTGGAGAAGGGAATGACTACCCACTCCATTATTCTGGCCTGGAGAATTCCATGGAAAGAGGAGCCTGGCAGGCTATAGTCCAAGGGGTCACTAAGATTCGGACACAACTGAGCAAATTTCACTTTCATATTTCCATCAGGTAATATTTTTATTCTTCCTGAACTAATTTAACATTTTTTTATTACAAGTCTACTGGTAATTAATTCTCTCAGCTTTGTCTGAAAAAAAATCCTTTATTTTATTTATTAAAGATATTTTTGGGAAAATTAGAATTCTACATTGATAACTTTTTTCTTCCACTACTTTAAAAATGCTGTTCCATATTCTTCTGCTTCACATAGTTTCTGGAAAGAAATCTGGTGTAAGCTTAGCTTTGTTTCTCTGTAAGTAAAGTGTTTGTTTCTCTAGTTTCCTTAAAATATTCTTGTTATCACTGGTTTCAGAAATTTGATTATAATGTTCCTTTGTATGTGTGATTTTCTTCATTTTTCTTCTGCTTGGGTCCCATTAACCTTCTTTAATGTGTAGGCTTATCATTTATATTAAATTTGAAAAAATTTTTGCGACTTATTTCTTCAAGTATGTTTTTTCTCCCCTTCCTTTCCTCTCTTCTGAGACTGCAGTTATAAATAACCAGTTTGCCGTAAAGCAGTTATCCTTCAATTAAAAAATAAATTAAAAAAAAAAATAACCACCTTGTACCAGCCACCAGAGTTCTGTTATTTTTTTTTCAGTCTCTTTATTTCATTTTGAATAATTTCTATTAGTATGTTTTTTCTTCTGCAGTGAGTAATTTGCTTATAAATTTTGAGTTTCAGGTATTGCATTTTTCAACTCTAAAAATTCCATGTAGATCTTTTCAAATTTTTGCATTTCTTTCCTTGTCATATTCATGTTCTCTTCTATGCTCTCAAACATATGAGGAACACTTATATTCCTTTAACATTGTCTGTCAATTTCAGCATCTCTTTCATTTCTAATTATTGGGTTTTTCTCTGGTTTGGGGTCATATATTCCTGCTTATTTTTGTGTTTGATAGTTTTGAGTGAATCCTAGAAATTATGAGTTCTACTTTATTTTGTTATTTTAGGTGTTGTTTAGGTTTCTTTTTTAACATTCCTCTGTGGAGGGTTGGCACTTGGTTAAGTTCCTTTCCTGGTGGCTCAGATGGTAAAGCATCTGCCTACAGTGCGGGAGACCCGGGTTCAGTCCCTGGGTCAGGAAGATCTCCTGGAGAAGGAAACGGCACCCCACTCCAGGACTCTTGCCTGGAAAATCCCGTGGATGGAGGAGCCTGGGAGGCTGCAGTCCATGGGGTCGCTAAGAGTCGGACACGACTGAGCGACTTCACTTTAATTATGAGTTCTACTTTATTTTGTTATTTTAGGTGTTGTTTAGGTTTCTTTTTTAACATTCCTCTGTGGAGGGTTGGCACTTGGTTAAGTTCCTTCCCTGGTGGCTCAGAGGGTAAAGCATCTGCCTACAGTGCGGGAGACCCGGGTTCAGTCCCTGGGTTGGGAAGATCTCCTGGAGAAGGAAACGGCAACCCACTCCAGGACTCTTGCCTGGAAAATCCCGTGGATGGAGGAGCCTGGGAGGCTGCAGTCCATGGGGTCGCTAAGAGTCGACCTGACTGAGCGACTGCACTTTCACTTTCACTTTACTTTAAGTTCCTTTAGATCAGTGTGGTTGTCTTGAGACTTGCTTTTTAAGTCATTTCATTATGACATCCCTTGCTGTGTATGATTTTCTTAATTTTTCTTCTGCTTGGGTTCCATTGAGCTTCTTGAATGTGTAGATTGATCACTTATACTAAATTGGGAAAAGTTTTTGCTACTTATTTCTTCACATTTTTTTCAAGAAATATGACCCCAAACCAGTTTTGGTAGGCTCATGGCCTATATGGACTAGCTTTTAACAATATATTTTTTAAAAACCATATACAGACTAGTGTTTAACAATTCTTTCTATATTAATCTCTTTGATTACATGTAGCATGAATTAAGAACCCCAAACCATGCATATTACAGGCCGGAATTTCCGTTTTCTCATGGGTCCCTAATGAGAAGCTTCTAAACGTAGCTTTTACAACTGGAGCTCCACATGGGTCCCTGTTGCTATTCAATTGCTAAGTCATGTCTGACTCTATGACTTCATCTACTGCAGCATGCCAGGCTTCCCTGTCCTTCACTGTCTCCTGGAGCTTGCTCAGACTCATGTCCATTGAGTCGGTAATGCTATCTAACCACCTCATCCTCTGTCACCCCATTCTCCTCCTGCCTTCAATCTTTCCCAGCATCAGGGTCTTTTCCAATGAGTCGGCTCTTCCCATCAGGTGGCCAAAGGATTGGAGCTTCAGCTTCAGCATCACTCCTTCCAGTGAATATTCAGGGTTAATTTCCTTTAGGATTCACTAGCTTAATCTCCTTGCAGTCCAAGGGACTCTCAAGAGTCTTCAGCACCACAGTCCGAAGGCATCAATTCTTGAGCGATCAGCATTTTTTATTGTCCAGCTCTCACAACTGTACATGACTACTGGAAAAACTATAGCTTGGACTATAAGGACCTTTGTAGGCAAAGTGATGTCTCTACTTTTTAAAACGCTGTCTAGGTTTGTCATTACTCTTCTTCCAAGGAGCAAGTGTCTTTTAATTTCATGGCTGCAGTCATGGGTCCCTAGGCACTGGGTCCCTAAGTTAAGGTTTTTCTAGTCTTTATATTCTGGCCTTTTTAAAAAAGTGGGCTTCCAGTTCCACCCACATTAAAGGAATATTGTCCTTGCAGGGGAAGTGAATACCTAGTATTTAGACAATATGTGTTTCTGATTATCCCATGCCCAATACTCTAAATGCTCACTCAGGCTCTGCATTTAAATCTTCCCTCATTTTAGGCACTTGTAGTGTTTCTTTTCTTTCCAATCTCAGCTCTGTATTCAATTTTACATTGATCATACTTATCTGGGCTTCCCAGGTCATGCTAGTGGTAAAGAATCTGCCTGCCAATGTAGGAGACACAAGAGACGTGGGTTCGATCCCTGAATCTGGAACATCCCCTGGAGGAGGAAGTGGCAATGGCAGCCCACTCCAGTATTCTTGCCTGGAGAATCCCTTGGACAGAGGAGCCTGGTGGGCTCATGGGGTCACAGAGAGTCAGACACAACTGAGTGACTAACATTTTCCCTTTTTCACTTCCATTGTAATACAACTTAGTTGAAGAATCTTTAGGCATTTTTTAACAAGCATTTTGGGTGGTAAAGTGTCAGATGTCTGAACTTTTCCTGACTTTGCTTTTATTTTTATTTTCTTAAGGCTATTCTTTGAGTCTTAGCAGAGTGAGCTGAGGGAAATGGAAGACTTAGGCCCAGGACACAGTGGTCATAGTACTTTGGAGGCGATATAAAAGCAATGCAGATAGCTTCCCCACAGGAACTAGTTTGTCTCCTCAAAACTCAGCCTATCACAAAGGAGAAAATTCAATGTTGCTTAACAGACACAGTAAACTTATTCTCAAAAGAGACAAACATTGCAAACTTCTTTCTAACATATTCATTTGAGAGTTAGACACGTTAACCCAGTTTTCTGCTTCAGGCTGTCAGAATTTTGTAAACATCCATGTCCAGTTCTGGAAGGTTGAATGGAGGATTGAGATGCGCTCTGGATTTTTGCCCTCAATCCCTTCCCTTCTTTTGTTTCCCATCATCTCAACTTTTTCTTCATATTTATGGGATTAAACTTGGACAAAGTGGGTGACACTCTGTGTCTTTGTGGACTGGGTAACAAATCATTGTTGACTCT